AAACTAAATTGTACAACAACAACTCCTGATTAATGGCACCAAAATAACAATTTACAAATTTAGTCCATGGTAGTCCAGTTCACTGATATCCAAAAATTGAGTACCTAGTGTTACACTAATGTGAGTGTTGAAGTCATTAGCTTGCAAAATAATAAAACGAACTCAGGTCACAAAGGAATGACTCGTGTATAAGAAAGAAAATAATATTTATTCCTTACACAAAAATTACCTGGGTCTTTTACACTGGGAACTTTCTTTGCTTTAACTTTGACCACAAGGAACCCATTTTGAAACAATAAAGTTTTAAAACAGATGGAATGACTAATGAAGAAAATGTTATTACAAGTTTAATTAATATAGTAACAAAAGTACAACGTTTCGACAAGATTTTATCATCATTAGCGTTAGAACAGTATCATTGCAGGAGCAGGGAGAAGGCTTCAGGCTTCTTGATCCAAAAAAAATTCAGAATGAATTGTGTAGATAACATGTTGTTCAGTTACACCAAAGTCCTAGTGTGGTATTTCATAATTCTAGCTTACCTACATCAGTGATCGTGTCCATTTTTTATATTCAAGGGAGATTAAACTCCCAGTACATAGTAACTTGTAAAAATCTCTGTCCCACCCCTCTATTTGGGAATAACTCACACCTAAGAGAAGCAGTGATACAGTGATAAGGTATGACAGTTTTATCTGCCATAATTTGAACATTCTGTGTTTGTATTTTACTCGATGTTAGCGGTGATAAAATGGCTTGGCACATCATGGCTTCTCTCCTTATTTAGAGATTCTGGTCCATTTGTTTTCCTTGACTTTATTGAATACGTTCCAATACTTCGTAGTTTCTCTGTTTTGTTAGACTTTAGAGTTAGTTTAGTTTGAAAAGTGATAAATTGTAGATTCCCGTACATTAAACCTGATATGGTTTTAGTAATTGTTTCTCTTATTTCTTAGGCTTATTTTTTGTCTGGCTCATTCTTGCTTCTTTCCATTATTCGACATTTTGAATAATTTTCTATTCAATGTCATTAATTCTTTGCCAAGAGAGTACTGCCAATTTTAGGATATTGAAATATAGAATCATCCAGTTTCTTCTTTTTGTTTAATTAAGTGAACTATTTTAGTTTGAAGAAGATATAGTGAATACTGAGCGTCTATGTCAAATTATGCATGAAAGTAAGCTTGTGTCAATTTCTAGAGATTTAAGAAAATGATATCATACAAAGTTCAGAAGATTTGCGAAATTAGGATGTTTTTATAAAATATGAAATTATTCTATTCCGAAGAAAGAAACATTTGAAAAACAAATTGTCTAGAAATTAAACAATATTTCTGGCTGTAAACGTAGTGGAATGAAATCTGTGTAATAGAAACAGCAGCAAGCACGCTACATCTGATGATGAACGGAACCTTGGGTATAGATGATGACTACCTCAACCTGTCAGGTATGTGCTGCTTATACAGCAACGAAACGTACCCTAAACATCTACTTATAAATAAGTGTAAAGTTTTCATTGAGATGGAAGGTGGCCAGAGAGTGAAACTTTATAAAGCAAAGCGTTCTACTTTCAATTTTATTAGCGTCTATTCATGGCAAGGGTCAGTGGTTTAGAACTACGCCCTTTGTGTTCCGAAACTGCTATTAACCGGGCTTAGTATGTGACCCAGCAATCAGTTCGGTAATGTGAACCTGTTTTGCGTTTGAAAAATTAAACTATTGAGCTACAAATAACCTAAATTTAGCTGGATGTTATAGTATCTTAAGTACCCCTTATTTTTTCAGTAGTAAACTTACAGTAGTCAATTTACAGATTTTGAATTTCACATTTTCTTACTCAAGGTGATTTAGAAGACAGAAATTAAATATGATATTTTGTCGTTACCCACAAAAATAATCCACATCCTCTTCGCCTCAACTAAAATTAAATTTCCCAAGATCTCTAGAATTATTCAGAGTTCTTCTTTCCTGGTACAACGTTGTTTACAACGAATAGCTTGTCTACCCTCAAAGAGAAAAGGATCTAACTTGTTGGTGTAACCTCGAATGAAATATTCATGGAAGCCCGCAGAAAGAGACAAGAGGGGGCAACTGGCCCCCCCTTACATTTTACAAAAAAACTGCACGTATTATGATGTAAACTTAATATCGTAGTTAAACTAGATATTTTTAGTAATTTCTATTAAACTGTAAATTTGTGTTTGCGTTTAAGCACACATAAAAGCATACTCTTTCAGTATGTTGACTTACACTGTAAAAATACATGTTCTGTCACCCCTTGAAAATATTTTGGTGGATGTCCATGGAAATGTTTACTCTTTGTGCTAAATTGAAAACGTGGTTTAACAGAAAAAAAAGAGAGAGGGAGAGATAATTCAAAGCTGTTTAACACAATTTATGAAATAACTTTGCAATCTAGGACAACATAGATACAGACCCAGGTTAAAAGGAGGAATCTGATGTAAACAAGATACCAAGGATAAAATATAGATCTCTTAGCGTAGAAAAAAAAGTTTGTATTATAGATTTCCTTTGCTAAAGCGTAACAAAAACTCACGTGTAATATTATAATCTGTCACTGGAATACCTTTGTAATTCCTCAGTTGTTTTACGGTTTGTTTACTTCTTGTTAAGCACAAAGCTACACAAGGAGTTATCTGTGCTCTATCCACGACAGTTATTGAAACCAGGCTTACCGCTAGGCCACAGGGTGTTTTGATTTACAGAATTAATTTCAACGCATACAATATTCGACGAGAATAATGTCAATTATAACATGAAAGAATAATTGGAAACGAAATCCCACACTCATGATTCATAGTTTATTAAAACATTCATAGCAGGAAGAAATAGTTAAAAACATAGTTCAGTTTTTGCTGTCGTATACTTAATAATACTGTTATAGAAGAATACATAACAACTCCAACGTATTATCTTTTGTTTAATATTGCACTTAGAGTGGGAAGAAATATTTAATAGCCTATCCCATGACTTGCTATCATGAGTTAATTAATACACTTATAGCGTGAAAATATAGAAACCATGACCTGTGACTTGTCGAATTTTACTTGTTAAAATCTAAATAGGGAAGAAGTTGTTAGAAACCGAGCTTCTTGCTTGTCATTGTATGTTTATAGCACGAAAAGCTGATTAGAAACCAAGCCATCTTGTGTTTAGTACTGCACGTACAGAGGAAACAAAAACCAAGCCCGTGACTTCCTACAGTATGTGTGATAGCAGGATTCTTGAACAATTCTAGTGTATTAAAGCTTTATGTTACTGACTAAACGTCTTTCTGTGGCCATGATAATCATAAAAGATGTAACACCATTTTATACTCAACAAATTCTTAAAAGTTGTCGATTTTATAACTCCGTACAATTTGGTCAACATGTCTTTCAGGAAATGTAAGGACTACCTAAGGGGCATTAGCTTCAGCTCATAAGTTATTGATTTGTATTTATTTCAGCTTTAGTTTTCAGCCACAACCAAGGAAGACTATATCAAATCTGTTCATTTTAGTTCATTTGTATTTATTTCAGCTTTAGTTTTCAATCACAACCAAGGAAGACTATATCAAAGCTGTTCATTTTAGTCGAGTTTATAGGTATATTGTTGTTTAACCGAATTTTCTAGGTATATTAAGTATTGACGATATTGTTTAACCTAAATTTCTAGGTTTTCTTGACGTTGCTGAAATATTTCTACTAACCTCAACCTGAAAAAGTTATTTTACTGCAAAGAATGGATCTTATTTGAATATAGATATGAGTATCAGTAATGACACTTTAAATTAAAATAGTTTAATAAGTTAGACATTCTTAATGCAAGGTTATAGATTTCATAAATGTTCTAAAGAAATTGTTACATTTTCTTTTCACGCCTCATATAATTTCTTGAACAAAATTTCGTAGACAGAGTCCGTAAACTCCGTCTTATTTTACACAAATGACGTTTCACCTGAGTTTTTTTTTATTGTATTGTAAGTCTTACACCTTTATTTTTACTGCTTTAACATTTTTACAGAATAAAACATCCTGTTTCAAAACTATCATGACTACACTTATGTTATCTATTTTTAAAATCAAATAACGAAATAATTAATAGTTTTAGTTCGTCTGGAGACCGTTAGTATTATTTTTTCTTACCTACTTTAGGTTACTTGTATATAACAGTTAATTATATAGTATAACATTATCATATTAGATTAATATTTGTTAATGATGTTAATTGGTTACTGATTCATCAGGTGGAAAACGAAGTTTTGTAATAAATAGTAAAAACACAGTAATACCAAAAACATCTTTAATACGAACATTTCGAAATTTCCTTACATTCCATCCTCAGCATTAATATCTAAAAAAATAATTCATAATATTTGAACTACAATATTTTCGTATTCAATTGGAAGCTTAGAAAGAACAGATTTAGACTTTAACAATATAATATAATGGAATGTACGATAAAACATGCGGCGTACACATGCTTAATAAGTATCATTGTTAAGAGAAACTATTATAGAGAAAGGTTTAAATATAAGTATAAACACTGTATCTTTAAAATAATAATAAATATCAAATAAAAACATTGAGAATCCGGAATTGATTAATGACAACAGGAAGAAGTTGATGTTACAATTTAGTGTTGGGTAATCACTGAAAATGGAGAGGCTTTCTTTGATAAGAGTTCGTAATCTGTGGTTCAGGAGTCGAGAATTTTAAAGTTTTCTAGAAGTACATGTATGTGGTGGTTGTTATGCTCATTGTGCAATCAGATACAAGACTCAGGTGGATTACTTAGATTACATCCGCTTTTTGCTGAAATTCCATGTGCTCGTGTACGTGTATTTGTAGGTGACGTGTAGTTTTATCAATATATGTAGCTTTACAGCTACAACAAGTGTATTTATGTACGACCCACGAGCGTATAGGAAGGGGTAGTACGTTTTTGGTTCTAAACATACTTTGACTTCTAAATGTTGACGTAAATACCGAATGTAGCTTAATTTGTGGGTAATAAGTATGTTTTGATTATTTTTTGAATTTGATATTTGAGTTTAAAACTTTGTTTGCCACTGAAAGGAATGATAAACTAGTGGATATTTCGGGACAGTGTGTGTGTGTGTGTCTTTTCGGTAGGTTCTATTTTATTTGTTAAACATTTTCGTGTATTAGAATGTAAGAATTGTTGATATCTCATTATTTAGTAAGTCTGCTTATTATGAATATAGATATATCTTATACATGTCAGATAATTCTCAATGCTTGACTTCGTTGATTTATTACTTTCAGCTAGCTACCAGTTCTTTATCTGAAATATTTTCATGCAGGATAACTATAATAAGCTATGTAACTTTTCTGTCAACTTTAGTATAAAATTTATACTTGCTGATTGTTAAAGCCATTTTTATTATATACTTTGCAACTTTATATATATATATGTGCGTGTGTGTGTGTTAGGTTTTTCCTTTGTTATCCGGCTACTAACCCTATATGTTTGGTGAGAAACAACATAATCCACATTTATTTAAAGTTATTTTCATTAATATTATTGGTTATAATGTCTAAACTACTTTTGAATACTAATTTTACACTTACGAAGAAATATTTTTTTTATTTTTTGTTTATTATACGGATTTAGAGCTAACCTAAATCATCTGTAAGCTGGTTGAACCTCGTGAGTTGCTATTGGGATTACAGCCGAAAATACCATTAATAATTATGGTATCCAAATGACAACTCAATAGTTCCTCATCATGCTATGTATTGATCTATAACATAATGCATTTCTTGACTCTGTTTTATTGAACGGATTTCATCAATTTATAGGTAACTTCTTCTTAGCTGTGATTTCTTTAGTTATTAATAACACATTTAGAATGGGAAAAACATTTAGAAACCAAGCTTTATGTATATTAAATAGTTAGAGCAGGAAGAAATAAATAGTTAAAAACAAGGCTGGTTTGTCGTCTTCTGTTTATTAATACACTTATTGCGAATAGAAAAATAAAAAGTCTCGTGTTTATTCTCGTGGATTTACTAAAATACTTAGAGCGGGAAAGAAACTTGAAAACCAATCCCCGTGCTTACCATCGAATGTCTATTTAGACATTTGTACAAGAGAGGGTAGAAACAATTAAATGAACCACGTGTTTACCATTTTGTGTCTATTAACATAGATATAGCAATAAAAAAAAAGTGTTTGAAATCCTGACCGTCTTATTGTAATTATAGAGAGGTTAAATCATACGTACAGCTGAGAGCTCTAAGTGATTTTGTTTTGTGGTTGTTAAGCACAAAGCTACACGATGGGATACTGTTTTCAGCCCACCGCGGGTATCTAAAACCGAGTTTAAGTGTTATAACCCTTCAGACGAACCGTGAGACATCGGGGTGGGGAGTGCTAACTGTAAATGACTTTTAGAAACCAGGATCTTTTCCACAGGACATGAGTACCCTGAAGTAGTATGTTAACCCCGCTAGTTGTTTGTCAATGTCCTTGGTCTGATTAGGCTTAGTCAACACGTTTAAGTACCACAAAAACTTATAAGAATCCCAAATGACTCCAAAAGGCCACCCAGTGGCACAGCGGCATGTCTGCGGACTTACAACGCTAGAAATCGGGTTTCGATACCCGTGGTGGGCAGCGCACAGATAGCCCATTGTGTAGCTTTGTGCTTAATTTCAAACAAAACAAAACAGATTCCAAAAGCAACCCACAAAATCTAAAGTAATTCCAAGGATAATAAATGCATTATATTTTATACTTATAAATTCTAAAGCATCAATATAACATCCGTTAACTTTTCACATGGAAATATGTTTTTTCATTTCGGGTATGATATCTCTAATGTTTATAAACACATTCATTTTCACGTATTCGTGTTTCCTTTTGATTGTAAAATATCTCCTATTTGTTCCTTTTGATTAAATAGACGAACCTTATGTGATGACCCTCTTTTGCCCTCCCGTTTTGTAATGCTTGTGAAAGGGAAGGAATCTGTTGATTCTATTACTTTGTTTACTAAATCTGAAATGGTTCTTTCTCAAGCTGAAACTGATTTCCGACTAAAATCAAAGCTACAACACACATACACGTCTGGTGAATCATTGTTGAAATGAACTTGACGATTAAACTGCGTTCACCTAATTACCCAGATCCGTGTCCCCCAAATCTTGCTCGCCTTCCTCCTTCATTATGTTAAGCACTATCCTAGAAGAGGCAAAGAATGACTTCTAAATACATGGAATATGGTTGTAACGTTTCACTAAACAAAGTGGCCCAACCACGTTGTTATTGTTTTGAATGCTTTCTGGTAAAACCACATGTAATCAGTCTTGTTCGGTGTTGTTGTTTTTGTTATAATGCCATATGCCATCGAAGGCTTACCAGGCGTTCTAAGTGTGGACATAAACACACTTATTTTAATACTGAGTTTCCAAGGTGTATAACTTTCAGAGAAAACCATTCCACTATTTTTTCCTAGTGTCCTGTTTGTTCAATCTAGGGATTTTGGCCATCTTCAGGCTGAACAATGTATCTCCCAAGTAGGTACATTTGTCGCAACAAACTTCATTTAACCCAGGTCCCTTGTCGTGAGCTTACTCGGCCCTCAGTTTCAATTGAGACTCAGAAAACTGACAACTCTATCTAGACTAATTTTGACCTTTTTATTTGTATTGCTACGAAACACTTGGATATTCTCTTATTTATTGCAAACTAAGTGAACTGTTACCCTCAGGACTATACTAATTTTACATGATCCAAATTCAGCCATAAAAATGTCTGAAATGTACTTCTTTGGATTCACAGAATATTCATAATCGTGATCCACTTCATGATGATCATACACCTCAAGGTATTACAATGAAATGTTCAGAACATAAACATTTTATTTATACTTGAGATCCTCTATAAATTTGTTTTGTGAAACTTAGTTACAGTTTCTTTCCCTGGTTATTCTGTTATTCGTCTTGACTGTGTCATTGTTGGACATGGTGGTGGTCTATGCTTTTTAATTTGACAGGGCATCTTCTACCACCCTGTTGGTCCTTTCGATGCTTCTCCTTTGTGTCAGAGTTTACGTGTCAATAGTTTTAAGTTGTTATATTTTTTTGGGGGGATAAGCCTTGTGCTGCATTTTACTATTAGAAGTTGATTCGACTTGTTTGGATGTTGACACACTAGTACGGTACTTTGTGGTGATATTAATCCCATACTCGACTAGATCCAGCAACTTGAAAGCTAAGGCCTCTTGTTCTTTTGTCTCTATATAATAGTGGTAGATCTATTTAGTGTGCCTACCTGACACTCTTGGAAGTGGTCACTTTTCTTAAGAAACCTTGTTGCCCCTCAGTCATCCACCTGTTTTTCTTTCTCCTCTCCAGTATAGAAGTAATCATGCCAGTAGAATGATTGTTGTCACGAGATCCTTTGGCTTTCTCCCACTGTATATGATGCTGGGCTCTCGCATTTCCCATTTTTCTATGCAGTCTACTGCTATACATTACAGTCGATGTGTTCCTGGTAGAATAGAGAATGCAACTACCTGCTTGTATTACATTCTAAAGCCTATAATGCTTAATGTCAGCATTTTGTCGGACTGTTTTGAAATATCAGTGTTCTGTTAAAGCACAGATCCAAAGATACATCCAAAGGAGTAGGAAAAACTCAGTTGGAGACAATTTTGTCTTTATTTAGGCAGAGATTCCCATCTTTCGTTTGTTTGCGAGAAGTTTAAGGGTTTTCACAGTATTCACTCTGTGCACAATAACATTAGCTGCAAGCATAACGGTCGAGTTATTATTACATTAGCTGACAGTTGTGAGGATAATGCTACCTTCTTAATCTTTTTAATTTCGATTGTTATCTTTTCTTCATCTTCTGGATCTCGCGTAACTCACTTAGTGCGACTGAGCTAGCAGAAAACTAGTTCAAACCTTTTAATGGCCAACTGGACACTTCTCCTGGACCTGATTGAGTAACTAACTCTGTGTTAGTGAAATATAATGCTTCTAACAGAGGTTTTATTTTAGGCTGTATATAATGACGACTAGTTAATATGCATTTGTTCTCCTGAGTGGAAGGACGTTGACATGATTTTGTTCTTAAATCTGGAAATTATTTAATTAGCATCATATTGTCCTATTTCCTTAACTTCATATGTTACTATAGTTACAAAACACATGATTAATTCTAATTTACCTTGGTTTGTTGAATTTTATGGCTTTTTTCCACAGTAAGTTGAATTTCGTAAAGAAAGGAGTATCATTACCTGTCTAATTTGATTTCAAAAATCTATTAATCTAACTCTTTCAACGCATGGCTATATATTGTGGCTGTCGTTTTAAGTATTGAAGCTGTCTTTAACATTATTGGATTAATGAACTTATAAAAATAGGTGTTCTCCGTTAAAAAGGTCAGCTTTTGCGCTGTCTTTATATGGACGATCTTTCTGTGTCAAAGTTCGAAACACGTATTCGAAGGTTAAGCAATCTTGATGATAAGCAAAAATTAATAAAACAAAATTTAATGTTTTTTATGTATAATATTTCGAATTAAACGATACTCCACAATAATTGTTACGTAGGGTAAACCATTTACAAAATGATACTGATATCATCTTTCGGAAACGTGGTACACATTTAATGTCAGATTTATCGATCTAATTTTTAGTTCCTTCTACTTTCCTCAAATTGAATTTTCTTTAGGGTTCAAAAATCAAATTATTATACAACACTTTAAAGAGAATAAAGCTAGTTTTCAATGTATAGGCCCTGGTTGTTGTCACGTATTACATGTTATTAATGATTTGCTGCTTTCTATATTATAAGATATGTTACCTTATAAAACACTAATACAAAATTACTTATCAGGTTAATAGGTAAGTAACTAAAAAAGATTCTTAGCTTAAAAAGAGATTTTATAGCTAACAGCTATGCATCAGAATGTTCTCACATATATCACCGGATAAATGGAAATACAATGGTTAATACTGCATGTGTAAAAGATATATGACCTTGACTACATAAGAAGCAACTATGAAGAAAAGCTTATTAATTAAATGAACTTTAAAGTTTTGACACAGGTCATATGATGATTGGAAAATACTTAATTCTTCTTCTTCCTATTGTTTTATAAAGGTCATCAAATCCTGTTATAATTTTCATGTATGATGTTACTGTGAATTTTGTGTCGCCCAGATTTTTGCAATCAATAATTATGATTTATATTTGAAAATGAATAAACTTGCTTCTATACCGTACTCTCTGAATTGTGATTATAGGTGAGAAACAGCACTTCAATTTACGTCACTGGTTTTTAAAATTAACATTTATATTCATATTCTATGTGTACACTTTTCTGTCATAGCGTGCTAGTTATTTAGATCAAAAAATTTACTTAGCAGGCCTTAAAATGGGTGAGACACTTGTCCGAATACTCCTCTGATTTGTTCTACTAGTGACCTCAGTTTGCCCCAGCAACGAAATTTTTTTATTATTTTCTGTAACAACACTGACTTGCAATGTGTGTACTTGGAGATTAATTACAGTGTGTTTTCTTTGAATAAAACTATAATGTACATTGAAATTTGTCTCCCTACTGAAGATCCCTTATTTTAAGCCTTGTTACTTGGAATTAATAGTGTGCTTTAGTTGTAAAATAAATACGTCAAATACCTGGAGACGAACAAAATATTTTAATATATATAATGTTATTAAATATTTCTCTATATGCTCATTACTGGTAACTCTTATTCAATCTCTGTGAATCATGCCTACTAGGTATTTCAACATAATGTTCCCCAAAGCATCAGGATGGGCTGGAGTTTGGGGGAATTAAACAACTTACAATTTTCCCCACGAAGTTCCATCTCCAGTTTTTATCCAAAGGTAAAATGTTTTCACATTATCAATTTTGCATGTCCATACTATGTTTACTGTGTACAACTCGTATAATGAAATTCACCCACAAGTAAAGCAGCGTGTAATTGTTTAAATTCTAATAATTTAAATAACACCTAACGATACAAGCTACATGAACGAGAACTACAATTGGAACAGTTTTGTTAATCATTAACAAATCTTTAAAAATTATGATTTTCTCAAAACATAGAACAGTCTTATTGAACAATAACCTGTGTTTGTAAATTGCTAAAAAAATATAGCAAGCGTTAGAATGCGGATTATTCAGTTGATGCTTTAACAAAAGATTGTTTGTGGTAACTTGTGTAATGAAACATACTAGTATACTGTACTTTCATTGTTCAAGTTTTCACATGTTTATATCAATAACTCAGAAGTGTCGGAGTGACTGTGATTAGAGGCAATATCTATGCATATTTATGGCGTTTGAAAAATAATAGTGGGTATTTGACGTATTAATGGAACTATTGATTAGTTTATGTCAATATTTAAAAGATATTTGTATGTTTCATAAGAGTCTATGGTATTAGTGAGAATAATGACTAATTTAGTTTAGGATATAGCTTCTCTAATATGATAATGGAATTCTGGAATTTATATAAAGAATTTTTGATGAAAAAGTCTGAAGAATTCTCAATAATTGTTTTCTGAATGTGATTAATTTTCAAACTGCCGATTTACTGAATCCATGCTGGATGAAATGATAGTCTTTTTAAGTAGCTGTATTTTAGTCACCTAACTAGAGAGTCAGACAAATAATATTTTTTTAATACAGTGGTTGTAAATCCGTAATCCACAGGTTACTTGAGATCCCTTCAAGATGGAAGACTTTCGAAACGTCGTCCTCTACACTTGTATTTTTTACAAGAGGCAGTTGTCGTCCATTCCAGTTTACTCATCATGAATACTCTGCCTAAACAATCTATCAAAGTATATTAACATAATTATAACTAATTTAAAATAAGTCTGATGTTTGCACTCTTATGTTTATTAACACACTTATAATGGGATTAAATAGTCAAAAACATAACCCGTGTTTGCCATCTTATATATAATAACTCACTTTTAACGGGAATAAATAATTAAAAACAAAGCCCATGTTTCCAGTCTTATGTATATATCATCACACTTATAACGGAAATAGATAGTTAAAAACAAAACTCATGTTTGTCACCTTATGTATATTAAAACACATATAACGGGAATAAATAATTAAAAACAAGGCCCATGGTTGTAATCTTATTTATATTAATACACAGATATAGCTACTATAAAACAATATTTGGGCTTCCAATACTCTATTTATTTACATACTTAAAGCGAAAGATTTTACAAATCAAGGTCTGTGACTTACCATACTGTATTTCTAACACAATTCAAACGGAAATATTTATCTATAAACCAAGCTTTGTTTTTCCGGTAGTGTATTTATTAACAAATTTATAATGGAAATAATTATTTTTATTACCAACTCTGTGACCTCCCATTATGTATTTATTAGTCATTCACAAATTTATAAAGAAAAAAAAAAGGAATGTAAACAAAGCTTCATGCTTCCCATGCTGAACTTATTAACACACTTATAAGAGGAACAAATATTTACAAATCAAGCTGTGTGGCTTCCCATATAGGATTTCGTAACAAATGTATTAGAGAAACAATTGTTTACAGTCTCCCTGTGGGACAGCAGTAAGTCTAAGGACTTACAACGCTAGGATCTGAGGTTCGATTTCTCGCGGTGGACATAGCAAATAGCTCAATGTGGCGTTGGTCTAAAACAAACAAATAATTGTTTCCAAACGAAGCTCTGTTACTTTCCACAATGTTTTTATTTCTACACTTGTGGCGAAATAAAGAATCATAAACCAAAATATGTTGTTGTTTTTTTTTCAACTGTGTATTTATTAATACACTTATGGCGGAATGAAATGATTATAAATCAAAATTTGTGACTACCAAGAATATATTTATTGAAACAATTATAATGAGAAGAAATGGTTATAGACCAATTTCTATGGCATTCCATAATGTATTTATTATCAAACTTTACTAGAAAGTTATATTTATAAACTAAGTTCAGATACTTCCCGTTGTGTGTTACTAAACACACAACGGAAAAAATTACTTATTGTCAGGAACTTCTTTTTTTTATATTATATATAGTAATTTAAAATATATGGATGCATTTGGCTAAGGATTCTTCTGCAGTAGGTGTATGTGACTTGTTGGCGATAAATTAAAAACAACGAACAGCATGCACTCAATCTGATTTCAAAATAATTTATATATATATATTCGAAACAAGTTAAACGTATGTACAGAAATTCCTTACACTATGAAGATCATAGTTGTATCAAAAACACCATAAAGTTCTTTTCTTCTTGTCAAAGGTCTACTTAGGCTTATTCAATTACTTTAGAATTCAGTTGACAAGCCGAACTATTTTTCTCTATTTCTATGGTCAAACTATCCGTATATAGTTCACTTATGTTGCCTTTGGTTACCGTAGTTGTATCCTGAACTTCCGATACTCGTCTGCTTTTTCGTATTTAGGCCTACTTCAAAATGATCGTCTGATTTTTGTCAAACTCCACACAGGCAGGTTTAATTGCTTTAGAACACCCTTTGACAAGACAAATTATTCTCCTAAAATCTCAGAAAACTGTTAATATAACTTTAACATATCAATCATTAGGCTATTCACTCCTACGACGGTTAAATTTACGTTTTCTAGCTTTTCTTTGACCAAAACTCTCTTTTACTTGGCTTTACATTTGGCTCTCTTCCCGCTCTTTATTTTCTCATCTACTCACCATCTATTTATACGTCTCTCACTGAAGCATTCTAGAAATCTCTGTAATGGCTGGATTGGACAACTAACTTCAGGATATGGATTTGGATTTGACATTGCTGGAGTAGTCCGGGAAGGTTCTGCAATAACAGATGACACAGCAGTAGTGGTAGTAATTGTAGACCATATAAGGTCTCCTATTCCATATTTTGCAGAAGATAGCATTTTAAGTTGGAATTCTGAGAGAGATGTAGAAAGAGGTGTAACTGGTTTAATCTTTGCATTTACCAATTCATTTTCCAAATGTTTTATTCTGTCGCTGATATTCTTTTCTATTTTAATGATCTACTTTCGTATTTTTACGATTTTGTCATTACAGTCTTTCTGAACTTCTTCAGTTTTGTTGTTGTAATCCCTTTGTACATATCCAATAACTTTGTCTATTTTGTCTTCAGTCAGATTTATTTTTATTCTTAATTCTTCTCTAAATATCAGGCCTTTTTTTTAACTCTTCTCTTCAATTCCTGTTTCTTACTTCTTCTTCATCTTTTAATTTTCTATAAATTTCTTCTTGGTATTATTTTTATTTTCTATCCCTTTTTCCAGTTTACTGTCCCGTTTTTCTAATTTTCTATCTCTTTCTTCTTGACCCTCTTTTAACTGTTTCATCATCGACATCAGTAACTTACAAACACAACTTCCAACAATCGTTTGCTTTTCACTCTCTTATTTGTACATAAAAAACACTCACTAAACAATCATGAAATATTAACTCTCAAAATAAATAAATTACTATTACCTACACTAAACACTCTTTTATACCTGACATTTATAAACCATGCTTTGTGTTTTTCCAAATTGTTTTTATTAACACACTTATAGAGGAAAATGAAACATTATAAACTGACCTATGTGACTTCTTTTTTTTTTATTAATGTTCTCGTGGTAGAAACAAATATTCATAAGCTAAGATATGTGACTTTCAACACTGTATTTATTAGCACACTTATAATTAATTGATTAACCTATACCAGAAAGAAATATTGTCATTGTGCTGATATCCATTAGATCATCCCTACACATAATGATGATTGTCAAACTTCCAATGCAACACTTTTTGGAGTATCTTATCCCAAATAACCACCTTCCTCCACGTCGTATGCTCTTCTTGACTGAATAGGTGATTATAACTGAACTATCAAGGATTGACTCTCATTTCCTAGAGAATTGCACTTCCACAACTCACATGGCCCGAAATACATGATACGAATTATAGTTGAGAGTAATGATGTTATGGATCACCTTCTAAACCATAGTACCTTTTTATTCCAATAACAGGATAGAGTTAAAACATCAAGAACTTCGCACCACTGAGTTGTGACCGCTACCTTATCCAGACCTTTCATCTTACCCAGTAATATGCAGCAATAAACCAATTTGTTCACATTGTCGAGTCTCCCAAAGCATCTACTTCTACAATAAAATATATGTTTTTAACACATGTGAACTGGACGATCGTACTTATTCTCATAAACTAAAAGGCAAGCATGCTCCTAAGCAGATGATCCTTCAACTGTTGCACCTATAGGCATGATTGACATGGTTAAATAGTCAAAAACTCTGTCTCTCCTCTTCCAACTGTAGAGGATATTCTTCGCTTTATCACCATTACATTATATAATTGGTGGTTCTCTTCTGCAATCTCCATATCATCCATGTTTTGAATCAAATACCCCACCAAACATTGTCCTTGCTTCTCATAATTTTGTATCTCTGTTCACGATTGACGTTCTTCCACCTGTTGGTAGTTGTCATCCATTTCCAACTTGTTACTAGGACTTCTTACACACGACCATTTCCTATTAAAACATTTTTGAAGTTTCGTAAAGCTGATTAGCCTTCTTTTCAACGTCATATTGATACTGCACTTCAAGCCATTGATTCCAACTTCTACACATTAGAGAATATTAATCATTTAGCTCATAATCTCGTATCTTCCATTTCTTCAGCCAGTTCTCAATAAATTCCAACTGTTCACCGTTGTCCACACATAACTCCCTCCAAAGTTAAGGCTATTTGATTGATACATCAGTCTCATGTTCTGGTTCAAGAATTTCTACATTCTAGGGATTCTGTGACTCTTAAACAACATAGATGTATTCAATGAAATGCAATGCAGCAAATAGACATCAATGGCAGAAAACAGGCACCGAAATGTATGATATTTCTCATCTCTCCCAGTACTGAACTCAACTTAAATTGCTAACTATCCAGTTACCTTCTCCTTATTCTTTCTGATGACGTCGTTCATACTTTTTTCTTTACTTTTTCTTTTACTTGTTTCGTTTCGTTCCTTGTTAAGCACAAATCTACATAATAGGCTATCTGTGCTGTGCCCACCACAGGTATTGCAAACCGGTTTTTTAGCGTTATAAGCCTTCAGACATATCCTGAGCTTTTCAAACATCTTATTATCACTTTTTTGACACTAATATCACTTTGAATATTTCTCGTCTTGCCAATACCCACCTTTCAGAACTCACACAAATTTTCCCCATGACATGGATGATGGTTTTCTAACTGTGTCTGATATTCGTCATATTTTACATAACAAATGAAATACAGCACTTGGATTGGACAACATTACATACTACCGTTTGTAGAATGCTCATCACAATTTCTGTCAGCTACTAATCGTGTTATTTAGTGTCATTTTAGGCATCGAATTTTACCCTCACTCATGTAAAGTTTCCAAAATCCTTTTATTTCTTAAATCCAATAAATCACCTTAATTAGTGACCTCTTATCGCCATATTAGTCTTATTAGTGTTTTCAGCAAGACATTTAAGTGTATTTTAATATCTCTGTTTCATTGCTTCATTTCGAAAAACCACTTCCTCCTCTTGCCAAATACTTAAAACGAATTCCAACCTCATCTTTCTATCCTGAACGAGTTCTCTGGTTGTCTAATGTTATAACATTCCTTTTCTTATCAATCGTCCATCCTTGAGAAAGCATTTGATAATGTTTGGAATTGTGGATTAATCTATAAACTTCGCTCCATGAAACTACCTATTCCTTTTGTCCGATTTCTAACTTCTTTTCATCAAGATCGTCAGTTTGTCATATCACCAGAGAACACTTTATCTTGGCACACTGATGTCTCTGCAGATGTTTCACATGATTCTATTTTATCAACTTTACTTTATGCACTATCTTTCAGATATGCAGCACCTTGCCTATCCAGTCTATCTCTTTAAGTATGCCCTACTTACTACTCGCCCTACCATGATCATTGTTTAACAGGGTTCTTTA